GAGTCAAAGCTTCATATAGCTTACTATGGACTCGTTTTCTTTTGAGTACTGGTGCATTACTCATAGTAAATAAGTGGTTGCCAGTTGACAGAGAAATAATACCAACATGTGAAATTATATAGCAGTTAGGATAACTCTGAAAACAATTATTATGCCATCAGTGTCAGGGGAAGAATAATACCTGTGTTTTTTCTTTCAGTGGTAGTTCTGGTATACATAGCTGGTATGGGGCTATGTTTTGGATTTGTGCTGGAAACAGTGTTGATAACACAGGGATGTTTTCATTATTGCTGAGCAGGGCTGACACAGAGTCAAGGCCTTTTCTGCTTCTAACCTCACCCCACCAGTGAGGAGGCTGGGGGTGCGCAAGAAGTTGGGAGGGGACATAGCTGGGACCAAACTGACCAAAGGGGTATGCCATACCATATGATGTCATGCTTGGCATATAAAGGTGGGGGAAGAAGGAAGGGGGATGTTCGGAGTGATGGTGTTTTGTTTTCCTAAGTAACCATTACATGTGATGGAGCCCTGCTGTCCCGAGGATGGCTGAACACCTGCCTGCCCATGGGAAGCAGTGAATGATTTCCTTGTTTTGCATGCAGCTTTTGCTTTACTTATTAAACTGTCTTTATCTCAATCCACGAGTTTTCTCACTTTTACCCTTCTGATTCTCCCCCCAAACTCACTAGGGGAGAGTGAGCAAGTGACTGTGTGGTGCTTAGTTTCTGGCTGAGGCTGAAGCATGGCAATTGCAGAATAAAGTATTTTTTCTGCATTGCTCCATTGTATAGCTCAGTCCTATGGCTACCCCAAAGGGTGACAATCCCACAGTCTAGGCAATCCTGAATTCCTCATATGAGATTGCAAACATGCCACATCAGTTTTAGCAGTGGGATTTAGCTGGTAAACACTTGTCCTTCACGTTGAGTCAATCGCCTGATAGATACTGTAAGCAAAATTTTCTCTTATGTTATCTTTATCTCATAAAGATAAAAAGATAATCGCCTGGGTTTTCCTCCTAGCACTGTTCCCATATGCTGTATTCACTTTGGGATGTATTCATACCTTACACAACAGCACCTAATGTGGATATAAATGCCTTTTATGATGTCTCTCTTTCAGAGGCTGATGAAGTGATTCATATTTCCTGCTATCCAAAGCAGCCAGCTTCTGTTTTTATGCAGTCGATGGTAAAGAATAGGGGTTGTATTCAGACCATCTGCCATAGATGCCTACTGGAGGCATGATGACTACTTCTCCCATTGACTGTGCAAATTGGCAGCCCTCAGTAGTATGTGGTCTGAATCATTCAACAGCCTCTTGAATTTAAATACCAGAGAACTGCTAAGACCATCTTAAGCACCGTTGTAATTTAGAAACCTACTAGTAAAAACACATATGTATCTGATTATTTTAATTTTCTTTGGTGTCATTAATAGAATTAAGGGATTGGTTCACCTCTTCATCACACGAAGCCACTAGAATATTAATTCAAATTGTATGGTTTTGAATCCATAAAGCTGTAGCAGGGTTAACACAGCACCAAACGGAAATTATCTTAATTTCCAAGATAGTCATGTCCCCATGGACTTGTTAGCCTGTATACAAGATTCTATACCAACAGTGCACACAGAAGACAGAGATTCAGTCAAAATGTTCAAGATAACCAAGGAGCTAGGAGCACTTTAATTTAATGATAGATCGGTCGTGGGCTGACTAACAAAGGAATTCCTAGGAATGTACATTTGACACCCACATTCATCCAGGTTACATGGTGCCATCAGTGTCACTGGTGACATCAGTGCTAAGATGAGAGTTAACTTGATCGCACTTTACAAAGAATGAGAATTTTAACCAGATCACCCCAATCATTGCATAGATGTCCTGAACGATAAAGGGTAGATAACGTCTGTCTCCTTGATTTGTCCTAGCAAATGAAAGCCATTGTCTACGTGCTGCTGTTCCATGGGTTTCCATAGGAACTGCTTTTTCACCCAGCATTTTTTTTCCCAGTACTTTTCTCCTGCTCACATTTCACCAGCGCACATCTTCAGGATTTCGGTCGACTTCAAATTGTATCAGTGTCTCCTTAGGATTTGCTTGCTGAGTCAGGCTCCAAGTTTAAGTGTATCATCAGATCTGTTTTGTTTAGGTGACTCCTATTTTGGACTGGACCTTCAACTAATGTAAATCACTGTATATCTAGTGGTTCCAGTTTATGTTTCTGTGAAGATCTGGTCTACTAATTATTGAATGGAAGGGTGTAAAGTTACATGTAATATGTTTATAAGAATATATATTTTTCTGAGTATGAATGGAGGTATAATATAGATAGACTATGGTATATAGACAATTCACTACAGTCAGCAGACATTCCCATTTAGACATTATTCTGCAGCTGTATCTCAGCAGACAATGCTAGTAAGAGGCATGGTAATTATTTTTACATTTCTCATCTTCTTGCAGGGCAGGGGTATTTTTCTTTCTTTTTTCTTAACATATGGCTAGCATTAAATCTCTTGCCAGTGATGTGTTAATGTATTATAGTATTTGTAGAGGAGACAACATAAATGACAGTGAATTGGACTGGAAACGTAAGAAACTTTCCACTTTGAATTTGGTTTCCCTGTCCTCTTTTGACTGCATTGCAACTTTAGGAAGGATCCTTGGATCAGACTTGGAACAGTCTGATGATGAGAAAAGATAATCTAAACAAGGCCTAATTATTTATTAGAAGTATGTTCTCAACTTCAAAATCATTCATATAATTCATCATTTTCGAAGTCCAGTGAAAGTGTTGTAATGTCACAGTGAAGAACACGGCATGCTGCCTTATCATCCTCTATCATGATTTACTGTATAATGAAAGAGGAACATGTGATATATGCAAGGAATAGCAGAGAGATACATTTTTGCTCATAAAGAAAGTCTGACTTGTTATATTATATTCTTCAAATTGCTCCTGCAGAGCATATATGTTAATTAAGCACATTAAAGTCAGATTTTTTTTTTTCATTAAAATTAGCTCATTTATAATGGTGAGTTAACTAGGTTGTTTATAAAGAAAGAGAGCTCTAAAGGCAAATTACCATGAATAAAAGCAAGAAGAGATCTGAACTGATTTCATTAAAATCATGAGTAACTTATTAGTGTCTTCAGGTTCCTCCAGAAATAATTAAAAAATAACTTGTCTTTAATTTCTTCTTAGTTTGTTTGTGCAGATGCTGGAACAAAACTAGCTGAGTCAACAATCTTGCATAAACAGATGATTGCCTCTATGCCTGGAGTAAGTACCGGATCAAACTCCATCTCTTAGTTTTGGGTTTTAAAAAAGATATCTTATTCAGCTTGTTTTGCTTCATTTTAATGTTCTTTCCTTTTCATTTTTTTCTGGTTGGCAAGGTGTGTTGCAGGCAGAGGTTGAGATGTTTCTTCCTTTTTATTAACGTTGGAAAAGTTCTGAACTCGATGTTGCTTCCTTTACTTTCACTGATAATCTTTAGTCATGTAACTGGCTTCAGTTGGAGCCTGCGATCAAGAAGTTAATGTGGGGAACAGACCAACTGAATGCCTCAAAAAATGGTAGCAGGGAGGAAAGCTACAAGCCATTGCCCCCATTCTCAGAAAAGATTATCTGGTTAAAGAGGGAATTAATGATATTTTCCTGGTTAATGTATAAGGCATTCATCTATGTCCTGCTGATTAGTGTAATTAAATTACCAGTATTCAGTGACTGATTACCCAAACAGATGGATGAGGGTTAGCCCAGGTCTGCTTCACAAGCTGAGGAAAACTCGTTTCCCTATATGTGTGTGTCTGTCAGCTTTAGGGGTGACCTGATAGGATCTTTCGCATATATCTTCTGAAGTGTGCGAATTTTTTATTGCAAATCTTTAATAACACCTTTCCTCCCAACAGAATATTTTAATTTATACTTGCTTTAAATAGATAGACTAACATTGGTGTTACAAGGTATGATAGGGGAGCGATCATTTCAGAAGAAATCATAAAGAATCAGGCCACCTGCTGCTTGAATGAAACAGAATAGATGGTTGGAGAGAAGTCTTTTGCAACTGAGCATTATTTTCAGAGGTCTGAGTATAATATCTTCTATAATTCTATTATTCAGTATTTTAGAACCCATGTGGAATCCTTAGTCCACATAAACTGGATGAAGGATGTGCTGACAGGGCTGCCAGTGACCTTGTTTTACTGTTTGTTATTCTGTCAAGGGAACTGACAGGCATGGCATTTGAAAAGCCAGAAGGTGATATAGTTCAACACCATGTAGACTGATATTAACATATAAATATGAGAAGCGCCCACGTCAAGTTGCTTAAAAATAGAATGCTAGCAGTTTTTCAGATTTCAGCCACTAAAACTCTATTATGGCTTAATAATTTTGTGATCAAAACTAAATCTGGTTCATTTGTTTACTCAGATAGGGTAATCAGCTTCTGTGCTTCAAAGTGTAGGCAATTAAACAGAGGTCAAAGAGGAGTAGTTTTCCACTGTAAACTTTACTGCAATGTTTCACCCTGAGCCTGTCACTTTGGATACAGTAGTTTTTGGAGACTTCAGAAAGTTACCTAGTTTGACAATGTCATCATTTAGCCTCCAAAGTTAAGCATTGCTTTTACTTGGCTCCTAAGAATGAGGCATTCATTGTTCCCCTTGAATTCAGCTAGCATTATCTTCACTTCAGACTATTAACATGTAAACCGAAGTTCATATGATACCTAGTGGTTCAGTCGTATCACCTACTGAAAGCTCCTCTCCAGGGTTCTCTGGCCTGTTCAAGGCCTTTATTTAATCTGACAGCTTTGTTCCGTTGACTGCTTTGCGCACCTTGAGCACGTCTTGTACTAGCCGAAGGCCAAATTCGCATTTCTCACTGTGTTCTAGGAAAAGGATTATGAAAATTTGTACTGTGGGAATACAGCAAGCACCACATTGAGTCCTTTTGTTTTCTCTTTGAGGTCGTTCCTGCTGCGGCACAGGTTGCTTCTCAATGCTTATGCTTTTATGGTCAAATTGAAGCAGTTCTTGAAGGATTTAATTTATCCCTTATAGTCCTTGAAAATTGCAACTAGCTTAAGTGCCATTAGAATACTGTATTTTGAATCATTTTGCTTCAGGAATATCCCAGAAACATTTGTTAGTTTAAAAAAAAAAAAAAGAAAAAAAAAGTAATGCTTAAATTTCAGTGATGTTCATTTTAGTGATGTTTGCACGTAAAATACCTGAAGCCAGTCATTTAAACTGTTTTTCCATCCTGATTAATGTGAATGTAAGGGCATCCGTGACTGAATCTTGTTTTCTGGGATTGTAGCTGATTGGTTCCACTTGCAGAAATGCTCAGTTGCTTGAAGAACTGAGTTGTTAAACTCTCACTGACTTTTTAAGACTTTAATTCTGGACCACTGTAAATTTCAGGATGACATGACAAGGATATTCGTGAAAGTTTCGTCAGCTAATCTTTTGCTGCTGTCACAGATAAGAGTATTTTATGATGCATGAAGAAGCTACGGTGACTGGGCTATCTTTATACTATCATCAGATAAGAGGGCATATTACAGTGAAAAGAAAAACATCAAAGAATACCTACTCCTAATTAAAGTAATCTAACTAAAAAGTAAAATAAAGAATTTGAGACAGGCAAATTGCATTCTGGTGAACAAGAAACAAAGAGCAAAACCATGAACATTATTCAAAACCTGGTACTTAAACTTATTTTTTTTTATGTTCTAGTGTGGAACAGCAGCAATGGAATGCATGAGGCAATATGTTGGGGAAGTACTGGATTTCATTGCAGATATGCATACCTTAACCAAATTAAAGGTTTGTCCTGGGCATACATTGTTCTAAAGTGTATGTACTTTTTTAACAAAAACATATCTTCTATAATGAACCTGCCTGGGAGAAATGGTTGGAAGTCTGTGAGGATGACTGACAGGTTTTTTTCCTTTCTTTTTAAAAAAAATGTTAGTACTATTATAGATTAGACACTTCTGGGGGATCAGTAAAAAGTGGCTTATGCAGTGTTGAAATGGAGGCTGATTCAAATATAGTGAGCACACAATAAAAATGCAGGATTGATTTTTCTGACATGATGATAAGCTAATGATAAGTTTTCCTGAAATGTTGATAATAAGCTAATGTCATACCAAAATCACGGTGAGAAGTAGTCATGTTTAATATAACCCGTGGAAACATAAAACTCCTTGCCTGTACAACTAATTACCCTCTTCTGGAGGAATCCTGTGTCTCTTATATACAAAACCAGGCACTTAAGTTAATTGGAAGTTCAGAGGTTATTAAAATGCAGTAATTGACAAAAAAAAAAAAAAGAGGCGGGGTCCTTTTCCTTGTTGCTGCTGCTGTTTTCATTGTCAGGTTATATTCTGTTGAGGTGGGGAAAACAGAGTAGTTCTCACTTCTGTAGTCCAAGATGCCAAATTGTAAGAGGAGTGATAGGAAAATATTTCTGTCAACATAAAGTACTTTATTTAGGAATTAATTTCATGAAAACATCCTAGTAATAATTAGCTGGTCAAAACTTGGAATTTCTGTTTCACATGGGGAAAGATGTTCACATGCTTTAAGATGTTTTAGAAAAGAACTAGGCTAAGTAACGCTGTTGCTGTATAATAGGAAACAATAAAAGTGTAGCTGTTTCAATTGCTAGCAAAGTAACATATATTGTTAATAGCTTAAATAAAGAATTAATGTAATATTTCAGCTAATATATCCCTAATAGTCATTCATAATGCTGTGGAGGAGGCAATATTTATTCTATTTAGCATAACACTATCCCATTAGGTAGTTTTCTTGTACCATCTGAAGCTGAGTACTAAGTGAACACTGAGCTGGAGGTGAAACTTCGGTGGTTAAAATCCTCCTTTTTGTAGAGGGAGAACACCTGTCTTACAGTGGAACCAACGGTTGTCACCTCTCAATGCCAGGCAAAGTTAGAGCATAGTCTTTTGAGCTACACTCTGGTACCCTGCACGAGGGTGGATTTCCTTCAGCACATAAAATGGAGGCAGAGTTGTGAATAGGCCTTGATGCTTGTAACTTCTGCAAAGCTGGCAAGGCAAATGACTGGTGTGGGAGTGCAGCAGAGGGACCGTTACAGATGCAGAGGGGAGTCTGTGCTGTCAGAGGTGTAGCCAGTTCTGAAATCTGACAGTAGAGTTTTAGTCCTTGTATACCAGCAACTCGGTGATCCAAGTGGAAGTTCATCAACTGAAAGAGGTCAGCTCATCACTGGGCACAGTCAAGTAGCTGCCAGGCTGCTTTTATGTGATCTAAAGCTCAGTTGACAGATACAGAAGAACAGTGCTGTGCTGCTCTGGCTAGTACAAATCATATTGCCATTGCTTGCATGCCTGGGCTTTGGTGCATGTGGTCTTTAGGGAGGTTCTTTGACCAAGTTCTTCCATTTGCTTCTAACCTCAAAAGCCACTGTGCTTTTATAACACAGAGTGCATCATAAAGGGTGTTGGTGGTCTGTTTTCCTGATAAATCAGTATAGTGTTTCCCTGAAAGGGCCCCTCTACTACTGCACCAGTCCTCTGCTGAAAGTTACTGAAAATGCGCTGGTGTGTTTCATGCTACAAGGCAAGACAGAATAAATGATAACCTGTAATGGATTTCAATACTGGAGTTTGTGAAGCAATGAGATGAGAAGTTTTACCCTACTGGTTTCTTGCACACTCACTTGCTCATTGTCCCCCTGCCCCCTGCATCCCACCTCGTGCGCCAGAGGGGACATCTTATTGAAAGTTAATAATGCTTACCACAGAGGAAGAAGAATCCCAGCTAAACTGAAACTCCTGTCTCTTGAAACTTGCAGTAACCTTGTTCTACTGGACAAAATATTCCTTTTGTTAAATTCTTACCCTGTTGGCCATATGTCTTTAATACCATTGAGTTTTAAAAAAATACTCTAAAAAGGGAAGCAGCCTTTTGTGCTGGAGTAGAAATTTACTTCAAAGCACAAACTAATTAATCATTTTCAGCAGAATTGGATTGCCTTCACAATATATCCTTTAAAGTTATTCACCCATTCCTCTTACAGTTCAGAACTGCTTTCAGAATAGGTAGGCAAATGAATCATAAATGAGAGAGAGTTACATCTGGTTTGCCAGTTCCACCAAAAAAGATGAACTTATATGAAACCAGGAATGGGGAAAATTTATTTATAAATACTTGCAAGTATCCTCTCTCCTGTGTAAAATGTTTCTGTAGAAAGCTCTCTGCCATTGGCACTTTCTCCTTCTGCCCCTTCTCTCTTGAACTGTAGTCTGATTTTTAGAAATGCTCTTACAATGCTTAACTCTGATGAGATGATAATTTCTTATGCTCAGTAGGGCTATTCATTTATTAAATTTTTATGCACAGATATAGGTAGAACATGAACTAAAACTTTACCCAGCTCTTCACTTTCATGTTTTGAAATTAGACAAAAAGCTTCCCAAATGTGTAGTCTGTCCACTTAAAACTAAATCAGAACAAATGGCCTAACATTTCATATTTGATTTAGCCATGTAGTGCAGAAATCTGAGAACAAGATTAATGTAATAGGAGAGTCAAATATGACCATAATTTTATGTATTGTAAAGAATAAGCTTTTGGAAAATGAAAAGGCAGTTCTTATTTAACCTGACCAGATAAACTTATCCTTTGGTTCCAACGTAGTTGGGAAAATATTTGTAAGCATTTCAAAGCTTACAAATAGTCAGAACTTTAAACAAATTCACTACATCTAGATTCAAATTCTTGTAAGCTCATTGCTCATTTAATATATTTACTTATGTTGCTTGGGTTTTATTATCAGAGGTGTTCCTAGGAAGTGAGTGCTAAGATTATCCAGTTGTACAATTTCTTACTACGAGTATGTATTATCACCAGCATCTGGGCTACCAAACCAACACAAAGAATACTATATGGTTTACACCACCAATGACAATCCCCACAGCAAAAGCTTAATTTTGGTTTTCAAATTTTGAAATTTCTACTCTCCCTAGAAATTCAGTGAACAGAAATAGTAGAAGTTGTTTATTCATTTGCAATGTCTTATTTTGCATGTCTGATAATAGTTTCTTGGAAAGAGGTTAATTATTTTCAGTCCTGCATATTAGCAACTACTGCATTATAAAAAAAGCTGTAAATATCCACTCTCAAGATAATCACATTCCAGTGTATTGTTTCTGTTCAGTTTATTATATTTTTTCCCTTTGGGATAATATTTAAATTGGTAAAGCTCAGCATACCTCTCTATCCTTTTTACCTGGCTCAATAACAAAGTCATTAGATATTCATGCTGGTACATTATTTTATTTTTTTCTTGAAAAAGATTTCAAGTAAGTGATTTTTGGGAGTGTTAAGTTACTGGGGTCAGATACTTACCTGTTACAAAATACTATTGGTCCACTGATATTTATCCTGTTACAATAATTTAATAACTGATGACCTGGATTTTCTTGTGCAAAGCATATGGCTCTCCTTTAAGCAAGCAAATGTACTCAGCATGTGTTCTGTTAACACAGAAGGTAATGCAAAATTAGCTTAATTAGAAATACAGAAATATCTCAAGAAGCACCAATGAAACATTCCTTAGAGCTGACAAAGCAGGATAATAAATTATCTTTCCAGGAATAAATATTTGCATGTTTCTTGGTAAAAGGTTTAGCCCTTTTATTTCCAGTGCTTAAAGGCAGTGGCAGCCAAAATAGTGCAACATAGCAGCTACAAAAGGTAGCAGCTGAATAGTGCAACATAGTCATATTGCTGGTGAATGAGTGACAGCTTATTTCTGTACATGTAAATGGAACATTGCATGGGGAAGGCATTTCCTGCCCAGATGCTCTCTTGTTGAATGGTTAGATTCTTTCATCTTCACTTGAGCTGTCTGGATGTGCAGCCATTAGTTTGTATTCATCAGCTGTTGAGTTTGCTGATACAAAAGGTGCCTATACATTTTGCACAATTCATATTTTGTGTGGGCTCTTGAAAATGTGGGCCTCCATGGAAAGATCTGCATCATAAAGCTGTTGCTAATATAGGGTCTGGAGAGGTTTTTTTAAATCTATTTCTGAGTTTTGTTCTGTAGTTTTGTAGACATAGTTGGAGACCCTGAGAAAGGAATTGAAGAGAAACGAAATCGAATACACTGTTGCTTGGAAGAACTTATTTCAAGTATAATACTCTTTTCTGGTAGGAAGTCATATTTTTGCCTTGCAGAGTCACATGAAGACTTGTTCTCAGCCACTGCATGAAGACACATTTGGTGGACATCTGAAAGTTGGTTTAGCTCAGATTGCTGCTATGGAAATCACACGGGGAAACCACAGAGACAATAAAGCTGTGATCCGATATTTGCCTTGGCTTTACCATCCTCCTTCTGCAATGCAACAAGGGTGAGAATGCTTTTCCACAAAAAGGAATACTAAAATGAGTTAGAAATTTTCACAAAATTATGTGTTTATTGCCAGATTTCATAGATAAGACTTGCAGTACGGAATGGCGGCTGTGGGACATTGAAACAGATGGTCAGCAGCTCCCTGATCCTTAACTGATGAGTTCATCACTGCAGTATTTAAAGTACATGCTAAAGGGACAGTGGAGGTAACTCCATTGGCTTGACTGATATTACCTTGGAAATTAACTTGATTCTCGATCCAGATACAGACAGTGAAAAGCACATGAGTACTCGATCAGTCCTAGAATTATAGAAGATATGTTGGGAATTATAGAGAATACGATGGAAAATGTCCTTTGAAATTATGGAGTACAAAGTTTGAGCCTATTGATATGATGATAAAAATACTAACTTTGTCTGGTTAAAGTTAGATGAGAGAAATCCTGGTCTTCAATTCATGTTTTTTATCCCTTTTCACTGTGAGAAATTCTAATCTGCAGTGTTTTATCTTCAGAAAGAAGGGGGATACTGTCCCTTATCTCACAGTGACAACAAACGAGATGTTTTGAGTGTAGACCATTGGACTGTGTTTCAACAAACCTGTATTCTTGTCCCAGACAACCTGCCCCAGGATTCTGGGGACTAAGCTGCTTGGGCTCCGGTCCTGTAGATACGTCTGCATATCTAGTTTTGGAAATACGGAGTTGTTATCTCCTTGTGCTTTAGCTTTTTACATGTGAAAAAAGGACTATGCGTTCTGAGTTGAAGGTAGTGAATTCCTTTAAGACCCTATAGGAAGAGCATCGTATCAAAGTCTATTCAAAAAAAATAAATAATGGAATGCCTCTCTGGTGCTATGAGTCCTTGTCAACGACATCAAATTGGAAATGAAAAACAGTAGTGAGAATGGCATAGTAAGTAGTGATTTATTGATCAAAACCCAATTATTTTTTTCCTGTGCCTATGAATTCAAATGAGTATGTAATTTGAACTTGCTAGCAGCAAGGGGACAGACAAGATGACACCAGAAAAGTGTTATTCTGTTTTAGATTATATAAGCACATTGCTTTACAATTAGACAGTGCACTAGATGGTGGATGAATAAGTGTCACAAAAAAGCATAGTCCCTGCCCTCGAAAGCATGCAGTCCAAATGTCCAAAAAGAGGCTAAGGAAAAGAGAAGTTAACTCCACTTTACTGATGGAGAAGTGGAACACAGTGGAAGTAAGGCATGGTGCCTGCCTCGGAGCTCTCTGTGGAATGAAAAATTTCCTGCCATCACCCTGTCACAGTGTGCTGTCCAGGGAAGCTGAGAGGGACATTTCCACTTGGTCAGCCCTTCCCATATGATGATTTCTGTGTGAAAAATCACTGTGTATGGAACCAGTGAATCTGTGAATGTTTTAGCCTTTTATAGAGACTGTTTCTTAGACCCACCAAGTATGTTCTATTGGACTTGTTAATGGTACGTCAAGTCCACTAAGTTCTGTGTGGTTCTAGTCTTCCCATAAGTTGTGCCAGTGATCTGTACCTCCAGCACACTGTGACTGCATCTGCCTAGTGTGCATAAGGAAATCCCCCCGTATTTGGGGGAAAACCAGAAAACTTAGCATCGTTGTAAAATCCACTCTTTCTTGACAGGCCCAAAGAGTTCATAGAATGTGTCTCACACATTCGTTTGCTGTCCTGGCTACTTCTGGGGTCTCTGACACACAATGTTGTCTGTCCAAATTCTCCATCATCTTGCATGCCTATTCCACTGGATGCGGGTTCACAAATTGCTGACCACCTTATTGTTATTCTGATTGGGTTTCCAGAGCAATCAAAGGTAAGGGATTCTGTGTTTTAAGTGGAGATGTGTTATATATTGACCTTATTATTACAAACACTTACTTATTTCTTCATAAGAAAAAAGGAGGGGTAAACCCATATTAAAACCTGGGATCTAGGGACACAAACCTTTGTTTTCTTGCATAGCTGCTTCTTCATGCTTAGAAAACTAGTGATGAAATCACTACAATTAAGTTGGAGATTCAAGTATTTCAAAATATCTCAGCACAGGAGCGAGGAAGGAAAAAATGAATTCCAAATTGAAGTTTTAGCAATGACCATCTCTGTAGCAAATCTCTAGAAAGTTATTCTAGTTGTATAGTAGAATTGGATAACCTGTTAATAATGTTATGATCAAAAGTTAATTACAAACAATGATGGTTCAAGCAAAACTTTTTTTTCTCAAGATGCTCTGGACACGAAGAGTTACAGCAAATCATAAGCCACTTGTGACAGTAGTTTAACACAGCTGCAGCAGCACTCTGACACGCCTGCCTCTTTTATTAGCAACAGAAGCAGAATGATGACACATTTATCTTGTATGTAAAATCCCCCTTTCTTTCCCCTCACTCGGCCAAGACACTGGTGCTTTGCATTCATTTCTTTGGCCTTTTTTTGCTCTTTCAAATACCTCTTTCCAGTTACCAAGCAACTATTGCAATGTTTGGTGCAGTCATACTGCCACAGAGCATGAATCACTGTTGGACTTGCAAACTGCGAAAGCATCTCTGACCAGAAGCACCTTTCTCGTAATGAAGTAGTTAATGTCCAGCACTCCTGGAGACTCAGTCACTGTGATATATAACACGTATTAGCAAAAAGCCATGCTTGAGAATGCAAAATGAATTCTCTGTTAGCTTTTCAAACTCACTTTCCTTGACTGTGAGCAGTTCTGTCGCAGCAAGGTAGAAATGGATGGCAGATTAACAGAACAGATGTAAGATGATGTATTTTGTACAATAGCCTTTCTTTCAGGTGATCAGAATCTGAATGACTTACCCCAGCAGCATCTTTGAAATACAGTCATACATGCCAGAGCCTCCAGGCCTTCCACAGACTGCAGTGGACTTTTCCATCAAGAAAGTCTCAGAACTAGTCCTGAGTAGCTGTTCTGCAAAACTAAGCTTCTCTTTAAAGGGACTGACCTTAATGCCATTCACTAAGATTGCATGGGAGTGTGTGTTTGCAAATGCAGCTTTTAGTCCATAAATATAAACCTAGTTTTTAAACATGGAGATGATGTTAGCAAGTATACTTGACTCACTAGTTCCTAATGGGAGGGAAACGTGGGAAAGCAAGGGGCAAGACTGCGCAGTGGGATGCATGACAGAGGAGTGCTTTGATGAAAGCCTCTGCACTGTATCCTAATACACTTATTTAAATAAATATTTTCCTCTATTTTCTGTTTCTACAGACATCTGTTCTGCACATGTGTTCCCTCTTCCATGCATTTATATTTGCTCAGCTCTGGACAGTGTATTGTGAACAAACAGCAGTAGCTCCAACAGTCCAGAATCAGAATGAATTTAGCTTTACAGCAATCCTTACAGCCCTGGAGTTCTGGAGCCGAGTGACACCTAGCATTCTACAGCTGATGGCACATAACAAAGTGGTGAGTCAGGTGCTGTGTACAGATTTAGTACAGATTAAACTCGGACGGCTTGGCTTTGTTTCAGTGGAATACATTGGACTATGAATAACATCATAAAGCAACTTTGATGCTTTTGAGAAATTAAAGGGAAAGCTAATTAGTAGTGGTTTAACCTCACAGCGGGCCTGAAACAGGGTCTAGCCAGGATCTGCCTGAAACAGAATTAAGAGCTAGAGGCGCTGCTTGTTGGATGAAAGGCTCCCAGTGTCAGGTCTCATTTTATGCATCTTACTGCTCTTCACAGTGGTCCTATTGTTTCATCTGACTCTGCCTTACAGGAGCAACTAAGTGTTTTAGAATAATTCTGTCAATATCCATTTGAATATTTTTTACCACTTGATGGTGAAAAAAATACACAAATGCTGACACTTGATTACTCATAACCCATTGGTTACTCATCAAAAATACGCTACATAAATATCTCTGGAAACATTTTCGAGTAATGAGTGACATGAAGGAGGTATCTCTAGAGATAAGGTTTGAAAGGGAAGTGTTAACTCTGTCCAGAAATCGTCCAGACCATTTTTTTGGAAATCACTTTTTAGCATTTATTTATCTCAACTACTCACTGCTGTTGGAGCAGCTTTGTACAATAACAAGCCAGAGGTGTTCCAGCAGCCTTCTCATAGGTGCTACCTTTACTTCTCATTGACTAATGATTCTCTGTGCCTGCAGGCTTAGAATTGAGAGGTTGTTTCTGGTAGGCAAGACGTATTGTGTTTCTCACTTCCCAGAAAGTCATGACAATTCTGGCATGACTTGTCAAAACTTTTTAACTTTAACTGAGACGGTAACTAGTAGCTCTGGCTCTGGAGAACCTGATATTAGCTTTGAGTGAAAAAGATTTTTTTATACAGCCCAGTCCTCTAAGGTGCTCTTAAGATTTGGGATTTTCATTCTTTGTTGGTTTGGGTTTTTCTTCTTTTTTAAATGGAGACCTGCTATCTATATGGAAATTATTTTATGTAATTCCCCTTTCCCCGTGTGAAACATCTTCCACCCCAAGTGGGAATGGACCTTTGCCCTTTCAATTGTAATTGCATGGGCTGCACTTGAATGTCTTTGAACCGGTTACTATTCCCTTATGTCTTGTCTGTATCAGGCAAGGACCACCTAAAGCTGTCTTTAAATGATATTTTAGCCTCTGACATGTAGTGAGATCTCTGTGGTTGACAAGCCACTGTTGGGAACAGTAGTTCATGAAGCTCCATTTGAATGAACGGGAAATGTACATAATGTTTCTAACTAGCCATTTGTTTAGTCAGACACAAAGGCTTGTTGTCAAGCCTTAGGACAAGAATATGACCTGGAAGTCCCAATTTCCAATCCTTATTCTGAAAGTATGTCATTAAGTGGCTTGTGTAAGTTATTAAACTCTCTGCCTCAGCTATTGCACTGTGAAATGTAGATAATAATACTTGCCCGTCTCACAGGGGTGTTGTGAGGTTAATTAGTTAGTGTTTGTAAAGCTCTTTGAAGATGAAAAGCACTACATAAAAGCTAAGCTTATTATTATCGAGGGGAATTTACTCATAGTTCAGATGGGCACTGTAAATACTCACTGCTGGCTCAAAGTATTTATCTTGTACTTATGAATTTAAACAATATAAAACATAAAATGCTGTCTACTACCAAATAACTGATATTTGCGTCTGTCATTATTCATGGTACAAAATGGAAGAATTATGAACTAGCTGCCAGTTCAGAACAATAAATTGTCTTTTGATGGGAGAAAAAAGATGGGTTTTGTGGGTATGTTAATTTTCAAAGATTCAGTAAATAAAAATACAAATTTCTGACACACTGATTGATGAGAACAACACAGCAAAGGCATGTAAAAGGATTTATGATGTCTGAAAAGAACAAAGCTGAAGGCAACTTGTTTTGATGTGTGATACAAATTAAAATACATCAAGCAATTTGAAATATGTAACACATAGTGTTGCCGCATCAGGGGAAAACTAAATATAGAAAAATGTCCCTTATGTGCTCATGTAGTATTTAATCTTATATGTCATTGGTTAATAAATGCACAGGTAGTGATTCAGGATAACTTCCAAGCAAATACAGGAAGATTCTTTTTTGAAACTGTTGGCTTAGCTTACAACACTGTTATGCTGGACACTAATTTTGGTTTATGCTTGATTTTTTTTTTCAAGATGGTGGAAATGGTATGCCTGCATGTGATTAGTTTAATGGAGGCTCTACAGGAATGCAACTCTACTATCTTTGTAAAGGTAGGCATACTGCACCATGAATATTTAGTTAATGATGTTGCCTGTCTGTTGTGATTTCTAGACATACTTTCCTCTGCTTCCCCTCCCACTCAAAAAAAAAAAAGAAAGTTGAAAAAGTTGAGGTTGAATGCTAATGCAGAAATAAAACCTATTAGAGCATAACAAAAAATAAAATCTCTGGTAAGAAGTAAGACCAGACCATAATCGCAAACACGAGTTCTCCTGATTTTTTCTAAATGAACTTCTGATCTATTTCCTTCTTCCATTGTTTCAGTGGTCTTATTCCTCTAATAGACTCAACTGGTGTCACTGACTTTGAGAACCTCTAGGTACTGTCTGAATTTTCAGCCATTCCTTAACTTTTAATCATCATAGGCCCTTTGCAGATCACCTCACTGTTCTGATCCTCACATTCTTTTAGGCTGATAATAGGTTGTTATTATATACCTACTTGTCTGGCTTAGTCAAATATTATTTGATAGCGAATCTTCTTCCCCTAGGATGTGTAACAGGGTTTTCTTTGGTTAGAAAATCAAATCCTGCATGCTCCATTCACATAAAATTCTTTTTTTTTTGGAAATCAGTGGTCAGTCTCCTGTGGGTCACCACAGTGTTTTCAGAACAGATTCCCAAAGGATTGGGGTAGCCTCAAAAGCATAGATCGATTTTACTAGCCTTTTTCACATGTTTTCCCACTGCATTATTCTGAAGGGAGTTTTCACATAAAATATCAACAAATTAAGTAGTTAAACACACTCTAAATGTAACTGAAATATGTTGGTTTATATAGGTCTTCTGTTGCCATAAAGGAAACTTCTTACTGTTGTTTTACTCCAGTCTTTTATGGTCAAGCAGGAACTGAAAATGAAGTAGCTAAAACTGAAGGTCTTGATGTCAACTGGCATGAAAGTATTCACACTCATTGTGAAAATACAGATTTATAGTCAGTAATGACTTGATTCACTACAGAAACTCTGTCACTATGGGATGTTAAAGTGATCGTGGCTGTCCCTGGAAGATATATGGGCTTCTCTTTCAGTCAGTCCAGGATGTCCAGAATTTGACAAGGATGAAGAATGGCTTTAAAGCTGTGAAGAGAGAGGCCTTCAGGGCCAAATTCCTGTCACAATTCAAATTAATCCTTTCAGGGGGTTATATTTGAGAGTATATATCAATAATATGCTAAATCAGGTTAAAAGGACGTTGTTGTTACTACAAAATCAAGCTCATAAACCTGTGAAATTCAGAGTTAAGGTGCTAAGCTTTCTTTCATGTTCAGTGGATGGGAGATAGAAGAGAAGAATCTGGGTGACCAAATCCCCTTTACTTAGCCCTGAAGTGAAATCCTGCAGGAACAGTATACATACATAATAGCATTATAGGATTCATAGTCCCAGGTTATTAGTTTTTTTCAAAACTAACTAACTGTAAAAAATATTGTAGATCTGAAAAGTAAGTGTCATGATTTGGGGAAAGACTTACTGTATGTTTGAAGTCCTTCAAAGAGGCAGAAGTGTAAAGCTTACTCACACAGGAACCAGTAAGTGAGCGGCACCTCTATAATTAAAAAAAGGGATCAGCTTTGAGACTGTCTCTTCTTCAGTGGTGTGAAGAAGATCTGAACTTTTTTACTCCTACTTCAGAAGTCTGCAAGGATGAAAATTCTTTGAATGCTAGTTGACTGGGTAGGTTTTTTGCTAGCTTGTTTTATTCTAGACAATCTTTTATTGTCCTGCGTTTGGTAATGAGACTATTTTAACTTGTGCTTGAAAGCTTTTTTTTTTTACTTTTATTTTAGAAATAAGCCTTTCAGACAAGGTTTAGTTTTCACTGAAGAAAAAGACATAGTGTGGTGAGATTTTTTTGAACAGAACATTCTTAACACTCTTCCAGAGATTCATTCAGCAAAATTAATAATTCCCAGTGACTTCCTCTTGGAACTGAGCAGAGTAGCACTGATAAATCCTGACCATTTATCATTCATATAATTATATTTACTGCAGTGTCTTTTATTCCACCTAAGAAATCAGGTGCTGCAAAAACTTAATTTGTTAATGAAGTCATTGCATGGTTCAATGCACACATATTTTTAATGCACCACAATGAGAAGGTGGTGCATGTCACATTGTGCCAGGCGGTTTATGGGATAGCTATCTTAGGTGGCCATTTTCTGTATGAGAAGTGAGGGGAAAATATGTCCTAAAACAAGAGAGAAAGAGAAGACATAAACAATTCAGCTTTCCTTCACTGAAAGAAGAGCTTGCTTTATGCCTGAGATAAGCGTTCCTTCATTTCCTCCCTGTGTTGGTGCTGTGAGGTTTCCTTCTCCTGGTATGATGTTGGCCTTCACTATTAAATTAAAACTCTCACTGATAGCATTGAGACATGTCTCGATTGCTTCCTGTAGTCTTTGAGACATTCAATGTATTCTCAGAGGATGTTTTTTGGATATGATGGTAGACTACCAATCTGGTGAGGAAAACAAAGTTTCTTTCCTGTGAAAACATTTCAACCATTATGTATTTATTTTTCTTTCTAAGTTGGAGTGAGAGTATATATAAAAACATATATATTTTTACTCCAAAGCACACATACCCACATATATATTTAATTCATTAATTGCTTCCTCTGAGTGGAAGCATTCTGCTTTAGGAGGGCTGAAATGAAAGTGTTCAGCTTTCCTCCTGTTTTTCTATGTCAAATAAACTGTCCATCCCAGGACAGCCATTGATGATGGAGACCAGCTCCTTGCTCATCACAGCTCTCTGTCTGACCAATAGGTGTATTTCTAAGGAATTTGGGAGCCTACAGTAGTGAGGGGAGCAGCTCACCAAATCACAATGTCTTTTCCAGAGATCCAGGGTTTTTAGGCAGCTTCAGCAGCTGCTGGGTAGTATTCTAGAGAACTGGGCAGGCAGCAGAGTTGGGGAGCCAGAAAAGCATGGTGAGCAACCTGTTCTCCAGGCTGTTTCCATCAAAACTTGCACTGGAATCCACATAATTCTGTTGAAAATATAAACTCAGAAAAATTGACAGTGTCTGACAGCAGTCTGTTCTTCCAGCTGTTCTTTCTAACTAGCTTTATGTATTCTTCCTTTGTGAAGAAAAGGCTGGCTGGGGATTAGGTAATAAACTGCAAATGCTTTGATAAAAATGTCTTCTTGTCTCGTTTATTTAACTGGCAGCTGTAGGAGTGGAGAGTTTGCTCGCTTGTGCCTGCAGCATAATGTTTCATTTCCCTCAATGTGTCCAGACCCTGGAAGACAGAAGCGGTGCTGGAGGACAATGATCTGTATCTAACCTTAGACCTCTACAGCGTAGATATACCAATATGAGCTAGCTTCTGTGAGTGCCTTTTATAGTCAGTGGAGATAAACAGGTATTTCTGGATGTGATTCATCTTGATCTATTTTAGATACCTGCTCTGGGACAAGATGAACTGGATGTGAGAAGTGCTTGATTCTCTCAGCTGACTGTACAAGATGTCCAGTGAATTGGTTCAGATGCAGAGGGGTACCCTGAGTTTTCTGCCTAGTTTCCCTTGTTGCTTGACGTACTTCTGACACCAGTCCTATCACCACTGGCTAGCTCCATAGGAACTTCAGTAATGCTGGATGAAATTTTCAGTGACATTTTGCTGATAGCAGTAGGGCACGAAGCATGGCTTCTCAATATGGTTACCTGTTCCCTCCTCTCCAAAAAACACGTCAAGACTCGCGGTCACTGGATCTTATTAAGCACTTCATTAGCGCGAGAGCTCACGGAAGGATGTACAGAACTCACACGTCTGCTGCATCCAGCTGCATTCCAACTGTTTTGGCATTCATCTGTCTGTAAATGCTGAGGTTTGAATATGGTTCTGCAATCAGTCCTGACAGAGGATCAGAGCTGCATATGATTCTGCAGCAAAACAGCACTGCAACTGAAACAACTATCGTTCCTTGCACAAGGGAAATAGCACTTTATCTAGTGTTGTCAATAGTGATTAGGTTGAACTTGCAGCTCCTGGTAGCGTAACTGGCAAATTGCAAATTTTAATGCCATTTGGAGGAACACTTTAGAATAACCTCAGTGGTTAAATTAATATTGGAGAACATGAATACTTTTGCTAGAAATTCCTCTCTGTCTTCCATAAGCTTGTCATGTTATGTTTACTCAGAAATAAAAGTTCTCTCAAGAGGAGACTGAAATACGTATCCATCCAATCATGGGTGACAGATTTGCAGACCTCCTTGCCTTGTTGTTCTGGATAGTTAGAGTTTTTACCTGTGCTCCCAGGCCTACAGGTCACATTCTGCAGTGAAGCACTGATGTGACTAGTGGCTTATAAAATGCTGGTTACCATTTAAATATCTGGCCTATTTCTAGGAACTTCTGCTGCATGTTATTCCAGTTCTTGATGTATACCTTGCCATGCAGAATGTTTACTATATTTATTCCAGTATTGCTCACCTGCACATACAGAAACACCCTCACAAGGAAAATAAGAAGTGATTAACAAGTTTTTGTTCTGTACTCTCATCGTTGCCTTAAAAAGGATTTCAGTAATTGCTACTGGTGATTGATTCATCAAGCTACAAACAAGGGAAGCTGGCTTCTTTACCTCTGAGACTTACCTGCCCCAAAACATATGCATAATTTAAAAATAAACACATTTTCCAATTTGTCCATTCAGACAGCTAAATGCATTAGATATACCCTTCTCTGTCTCACAGTATCTGGAGCATGTTTACAGTCACTTGTATAATAACAAAATATACCTCTCTTCTTACAGCTCATACCAATGTGGTTGCCAATGATACAGTCAAATCTAAAGGTAAGTTGTTTCTTCTACCTTTATTCTTAGTCTTACACATTTCTGTAAATTCTGGAAATAAGATCGCTAGAAGTGGTCTCCAAACTCGCTGAAAAAAGAACACTGTAGCATATACAGATGCACTGGATGGCTCAGCCACTGAAGGTCTCAGGTGTGAGCATACACAGAGCATCATCAGCTAAGCTACTTGTCCTGTAATCACTACTGCTTTCCCTTTCCCTTCTGAAACACTTCCCTCTAACCAGGTTCCGCGGCAGGGCCTTTTCTCCCTGTTTACTGAGATTGGTTGCTCCCTGAGCTGTGGTTTTCTTGGGACTCTCGAGCCGGGAGATGGATTTTGGTTCTATAGGAGATACTGTGGGCCTGCTTGCTTGGGTAAAACTGTGCCAGCTGGCCCTGTTTGTAAGAGAGAGCAAGGTGGATCAGTGTGGTTTGCCAGTCAAGAGAATTTTGGTGATGAGAATAGAAGTGTTGGGAGTTGGTCTCAGTATGGAGTTGTTTCTGTAAGCACATTGGCCTTTTGTGGCAACACTACAGTGCAGGATGTGGAAGAAAGAAATGTGACATTGGTGCAGTGGAGGAACTTTCCCTGGCCAGCAACCAGTACCTTTCACAATGCTGTATTAATGTATGTATTAAAGGAAAGAAACTGAATGTTTTGCATTATTTCAACAGCATTTATCTGCTGGACTCCAGCTACGCCTCCAAGCCATCCAGAGCAATGTCAACCACCACAGCCTAAGGATGTTACAGGGGTCAGGACAGATGAACAATAGCTCATCTGTGCTCCGCAAATGGCTACAGTGTACCCAATTTAAAATGGCTCAAGTGGAAATTCAGTCGTCAGAAGCTGCATCTCAATTTTATCCTTTATGATTCATATAATTTGTTCCAAATGTTCATTTTTAGCCTAGCAATAACAGGGTTAGAGCTGTAAAAGACCTTTTGTATAAATCAGTATACAGAGTATATACTGTATCTATACTTTTTAGCCCAGGCCAGATTGTGGAAAAGCTTATAATGGGTGAAGCTAAGAGCCTGATCCTGCCAGTCTTTAATTACACTTACTCAGGATCAACAGGTTCTCAAGTCTACATTCGTGAACAGGTATTTGCAGGACTGGACTCAAATCTATCACGTTGTACATATCTCTCTGACCATTGAAATATCTTGTTCTTAAATGTTTCTTTACATTATTTTTGAAGCAAAGACAAAAATCACTTTCTTTAACTTCTATTTTTTTTAAAAATAGAATTGTGGGTATTCATAAACATATGGAAGTGCTATGTTGCTATTTTTTGATGATAACAAAAGAAAACGGGGTTTTTAGGAACCTTTATAGGAGTTTTTTTTGGGGGGGGTCTTTTTTTTTTTTTTAGATTCACAGCTGGCAATGCAATAAAACCTGTCACTATAAAATAGTGATATTCTAATGAGGCTTTTTGTCATCATCTTCTGGGAAAACAGCAGCTTGTAAGGAGAGTTATTATAAAGTGCACTTAGAAATTAGGTTGTTAAACTGTGCCAATTCATTTGTCTTTTTCTCAGTACTGTTTTCCAAAACTGCCAAGTCTGATTTATTATTTTTTGAAATACTGCTTGTACTTCATTGATTCTGTGCTGCTCTTCTTTGTAGGCTTCATAGAAGCCTCTTTAATTTTGTGACTACTGTATGGTATTCTTCTGTCAATACTTGTATACAGTGCAATTAAAAATTAATATCCCAGATGTATTCTTATTGATAATGTCTACGGAAATTACATTGCAGACTTCAAGAGGCTTGTGAGTGGACCTGAACTTTTGCATAATGATATTTACAAATCACAGCATTTGCATACTATTGTATTAAACATGATGTTTAATAACAGATGAATTTTAATATCATTAAGGGACTTAGCCAAAGCCCATTGGGCTCTAAGGAGACTCAATTAATTCAGTGGATTTTACATAAAATCTTGAGAGAACCATGATTTACCACCTCTTGTAATTAATACTTAAATCTGTGCAATCACAGTTGTATTTTCTGTATTTATTCCTGTAATGCACTGATTAGAAGAATAACAAACACACATTTAAGTTGTGTATTCAAATGCTATTAAATTCCTGGTCTTTATTACCACTCAGAATCAACTTTTTTTCCTCCTTGAGTGCACAGAAGTGGAAAGGCATACCTATAATGAACTGCCCAAGTACATTTCAGTTGTTGTGGAGGGTCAATCTTTCCTCAGTGCATTTACCAAAGAAAAAGTGGAAATGTTTGCAGATAGGCCATTAAAGCACCATTATGCTTTAAAAAAAAAAACAACAAACCAACCCCAAAAAGCGTAACCAACTAATCAAAAGACAGTAAAGCATGTGCTACCTTGCTTAAAAGATGCCCCTCTGTGTTTTCAGTGGAGAGAAACTGACTTGGCTTTCCTTCCTTCCCAGATTCTCACATTAACATAGTCTAAGCTTAAACTGGACCAGTCTACCCAAAAGAAAATCTAAGATTCATCATAAGCTTGAGGTGAGTGATTTGTATCTGACCAAGCAGAGTTTTTGAGTTTCTGGAAAATATTTGTCTTGATGTGAAGATTATGAAGACATCCACCAGATGATAATTTCTTCGTGTTTCAGGCATCGATTTTTGTCATGTTGAATTGAGATTGCACAGACCTGCACGCATTGATAAGGGAGGGCTTCTTCCCAGATTTTTGTAGTGGTAAGAGAGGGAAACGGCATTCTTTCTCCATCTTTTGACTGACTATGGGGAAGAAAGAACAAAGTGATACAGAAATGATTATACATGTTCCTATCCCTTTTTCCACTCCCTTGTCACTTACTAATCAGCTAATAGTCATTACATAATCACAGAATGGTTGAGGTTGGAAGGGACCGCTTGGAGGTCATCTGGTCCAGGCCCCCTGCCCAGGCAGGGCCACCTAGAGCCAGGTGCGCAGGAACATGGCCAGCTGGCTTTGAATACCTCCAAGGACAAAGACTCCACAACCTCTCTGGGCAACCTGTGCCAGTGCTTATTCACCCTCAAAGTAAAAAAGAGTTTTCTGATGTTGAGATGGATTCCTGAACGCCGGTCTTGCTAGTAAAGACTGAGGCAAAGAAGGCATTAAGTACTTCAGCCTTTTCCATGTCCTGTGTAACCAGGTCTCTCATCTTACTCAGCAGTGGGCCCACATTTCCCCCAGTCTTCCTTTTATCATCTATCTACATCTATGTAGATGCCCTTCTTGTCATCTTTGGCATCCCTTGTAAGGTTTAAATCCTGCTGGGCTTTAACTTTCCTAACCTCATCCTTGGATGACTGGACAATGTCTCTATATTCCTCCCAGGATACTCATCCTTGCTTCTACCTTCTGTATGCTTCCTTTCTGAGTTTGAGTTTGGTCAGGAGCTCCTTGTTCATCCACACAGGTCTTCTGACTTTTTTGCCTGACTCCTAACTCATGGAGACAGACTGCTCTTGAGTTTGGAGGAGGTTATCCTTGATTATTAACCAGCTTTTTTGGGTCCTTCTTTCCTCCAGGTCCTTATCCCATGGGACTCTTCTGAGCAGATCTTTGAGGATGTCAAAGTCTGCTCTCCTGAAGTCTAGGGCTGTGAGCTTGCTTTTTACCTTGTTCCCTCCCCTAAGGATCCTGAACACCACCATCTCATGGTTACTGCAGACAAGGCTGCCTTTGACCTTCATATCCCCAATAAGCCCCTTGTTGTTGGTCGCTACAAGGTCCAGCAGAGCACCAGTCCTCATTGGCTCTTCTTTCACTTAAGTGAGGAAGTTGTCACTGATGTACTCCAGGAACCTCCTGGATTGCTTATGCCCTGCTGTGTTATCCCTCCAGTAGATATCGGGGTGGTTGAAGTCCTCCATGAGGACCAGGGCCTGTGAGCGTGAAGATGCTCCTACCTGTTCGTAGAGGGCCTCATCCACTTCTTCTTCCTGCTCAAGTGGCCTATAGCAGACATCCACTACAATGTCGCCCCTACCTGTCTTCTCTTCTATCCTTACCCACAGGCTCTCAGCTGGCTCCTCATCTATCCCCAGACAGAGGGGGACAGAGGGAGAAGCACTCCAGCTGCTCTCTCACAGAAAGAAAAAACACCCCCTCCTTGTCTGCCCAGCCTGTCCTTGCTGAAGAGCCAGTATCCCTTCATTGCAACACTCCAGTCATGGGAACCATCCCACCACGTCTCTGTGATCCCAATGAGACTGTAGTCCTGCAGCTGCACACAGATCTCTAACTCATCATGCTTATTGCCCACACAGTGTGCATTAATGTACAAGCACTTCAGAGAGGCCCCCTGGCATGCTGATTTCCAGAACAGGCATTGGGGATTTCTCTATAATAGTGCCCTGTAGGCACTTCCTTGCTCACATACAAAATGCTGGTGGTGATCCCAGTTGAGCCCCATTTTGTGAGCCCTTCCTGTCACATCACCTCAGGCCTCTTGTTCATCGAACCCGTCTTGCCGTGTCTTTGCAGGGCTGCAGTTCAAAACTGACTACGCGGTAAGCCGTTGTAACTTCAGCCATCAGGAGAAAAGGAGCTGTGGGCTGTGTTTTCAGTGGGACCGGCTCCTTCTGTTCCTGGGCTGTGTCTTCTTCATGTTTGTGTTTGCAATATAGATGATAACTTTGCTGGGTAACCACATAAATAGGGCCCAGGTTCACTTATGGTGGAGCCTGGGGTCAGCCTAGTGAAATGGAAGTGCTGTTGGGCCCCGGAAAGCGGGACACACAGGAGCGAGAGATCTGCTATGACCTGGTGAATCTGAAAGACAACTGAAAGGCAATGAGAGGGAAGGAATATGAGGCCCTTGGGTGTGAGGTGGGTGAACTCGGATGGGTTTAGTGGGGATTGTGGAAACTTGAAGACACGTAATTTGTGGGGAAGAGCAGAGCCTGTGAAAGTTTGTCTTGAAAAGTCACTTGTAGAAAGTAGAAGCCGTGATCAGGCATCTCGGTGGATAACGAATGCAGATAACATGGCACAAGTGCTTTCCCTGCCTAGCAAAATGTCTGCCTCAAGGCATCTAGTATTCAGACTGGCAAAACACAAAAAAAATGCAAATATAGTGGTGGATAGTTACTAAGCCAAAAGCAGACCTGCTGCATCCACGTCTGTAACTAAACACTTTAAGACTTCATCGGAATTTAGATCTGGTTTCAGTTCAGGGTTTAGAGATAAAAGCTGGTCACAGAACCTACTTCCATACCTGAACATAGGGTTTAGTATGCATGTCACCAATTATGATTAATATGGTTCTAATAGAGCTGTTATATGTAGGCAAATGAAGACTGTAAATAAAAACTGAGACGCTGCTTTAGCATAGAGAATACACTGGAAGAGGGTATGACCAAAGATTAGGCATGTGTTGACTGATAATAACAAATACCATGGGGCTTGACCAGATGTGTGTGGTTTAACATCTCATGAAAATCTCTTAAGTGCACTCCAGGCATCTTCAGAAGTACAGATATCTGCATTAATTGTTTTTAAAAGCACTGTAAAATATCTTTACGGTGCCTGAGGTCAATATACAACTCAAGTGAGTCACTCACATTATCTCTCTGAAATAGCCCAGAGCAGCAATTCTTTATATTCTGTGGGAAGATTAGGAAGTAAACAACATTTGGTGTTCCCTAAAAATGCTACTGAATAGCAGAGGCCGATCTTCCTGCTCTGCCACACTCCCAGCACGGCTGCGTCTCTGGGGATGTGTCACCAGGAGCAGAATCCATCCTCTGGCTGATCATACAGAGCTGCCGTTCAGAAGCAGCCTTTAGTCATCTGTTGCGATAAGCTGCTTAAATCAATGCCTGTTACCAGGCCTGACCTAGTAAAAGAATTTACTGCGTGCTGAGCGGTGAAATT